GGTGCCCCCACTACTGCTGTATGGTATGATGCCTCCCTCTCCCGGCCCTCCCTTCCCCTCCGGTCATCTAGCTCGCCAGACAGCTTCCTCTAGCGAGTGTGCACTGGTGCGCCACTCACTCACTCACTCACTCACACAGAAGGCCGCGAAAAAACCGACGCCAATCCAGCCATCACCACACAAGTACACAGGCGGGCAGGGGGCATGTAATGCGTGTGAGTCAGGTTTGCATGTCGTCGTCCCCCTGGTCGCCCGTCGGTGTGGTGTGTCTGGAGCCCCGCCGCTTGCGGGTATTCCTGAACTCGTTCTCGGTCATGGTGATGGCGCGGTAGGGCGACGGCGCGTACTCATCCTCATCCGCAGCTGACATATCAACACAGTACAGTATGGTGTGGTGTGCCAATCATCGGTGTGTGTGTGTGTCAAGCAAGGGTGACTGCTGTGGGTGGTGACTGACCTTCCATCTTGATAGCGAACTGGTGTGTGTTGGTCTCCCTGCGGCCGTGTGAGCGCGCGCTGGCCCGTGCGCTCGCCAGGCCCTCAGCCACCACTTGCGGCATCGTCCCCGGCGGCCACAAAGACGACACCTGCACCACACACGGACCATGCGAAATCCCTCCCTCCGCCCTCCCCTCCCTCGTGCCGTCTCGCTCACCAGGTGTTCGAACGACAAGGCGGGCATATCGAGTTGGCTGGTGAGTTTGTTGCGCCCCTGGAGAGCGTCGCGGAGGGCCACGAGAAGCGAGATGAGTGTGGGGTCTGCGCTGAAGGAGCCGCCGTCGTAGCGCTTCTTCTTGGCCTCGAGCTCGACGCGGAAGCGGTGGTACTTGCCGTCCCACTTGATGCCCACCCCGCCCTTGGGGCCGGTGGTGCCACGCTGGCGCAGACGCAGCAGCAAAGACTTGGCCACGCGGAAACGGTCGTCCTCTGGAATGGTGCAAAACGGGTCCGGCACTGAGGGAGAACGACACACAAGGGTGCAGGCAGACAGAGGGTGTGGTGTGTTGTTGCCGCTGCTGGTGGGGTGGGGTGTTTGGTGCGGTGGGGTCGAGGTATTTCTTGCGCACGCACCGTATTCTAGGCAGGTGTCTGCGTCGAATCCCGCGCCGTTGGTCATCTGGCTCTGGTGCTTGAGAGCCTGCTCGAAGGCCTTCTTGACACCCGCCTCGGTCTGCTCCGCCACGCGCACCGTCTTCTGCATCTTCTTGGCACCAACCATCGTCACCAACTGACACGGCACACAGAGATGATGCATCAGATGCATGTGTGTGGTGGGTGATATGGGTGTGTGTGTGTGACCGACCTTGAAGGCGAGTTCGCTCTGCTTGAACCGGATGGAGTGCCTGACGCGGCTGTTGGTGGTGGTGGTCTCGGCCTCCAGGTCCACCTCGTTCAACGCCCGCTGCGAGGGCGGCAGCTTGGCGATCAAATCAGCAGCCACCGTAGCCAGACGAGCAGACACAACCGGATCTACACACACACACACACACACATACAGAGGAATGGTTGATGCTCCCCCCTGGCTGCTCCTCGTCTGGTGTTGGGCTTACCGATAGCCATCTCATCGCCAAAAGGCAACAGCGCCCCCTCCCGCCCCTCCCCATTATCACCATACCCCCGCCCCATCAGCCACCCCAGTCCCATGCCCATGCCCATCCCCATGGCGTCATCCTGCTCCTCACAGTCCTCCCCGTTCTCACGCTTGACGCGCGCGCGCTTGCTGGCCTTGGGGCTCCACCCGTACAGAGGAGGGGCCAGGGGCAGGGGGGGCGGCGGGATGTGGCCCATCCCCATGGCAGACTGCTGGTGGGAGGACGCCGCGGCTGCTGCTGCCGCTGCCGCCTGGACGGCCCCGGGGTAGGCGTAGGCGTAGGCGTAGCTGAGGGCACTGAGTCCGTTGAGGTTCTTGGCGGCAAGTTCGGTGATGGGGTCTTCCTCCTTGTCAATGGTGTGCTCCTTGCCGGCCTCCTTCTGCAGCTCGGCGATGGCGCGCTTCAGCCGAGGGATCTCCAGACAGACCTGCTGCAGCACACGCACCTCGCCCTGCAGCTCCATCAGCAGCAAGTCGCGATCCGATATCTTGGAGGATGAGGCCGCCTCAGCGCTTCGCTTGCGACCATTGCCCTGTCCCTGCTGGCCCTGCTGGCCCTGCTGACCCTGCTGCTGCTGCTGGTTGGCTGAAGCAGAGGGTTGGATGTAGGGGTACGATGCGCGACTACGTGATTCTGAGTCGGCGCCACTGGCAGCAGCCGCCGCAGCAGCAGCGTTGGGCGACCCGTTGCCGCTGTCCTGCTCTAGCGATGAGAACCCCACCCGGCCGTTCTTGTCCTCGCCCATCCCGCCACTCCCTCCCCCTCCCCCGCCACCCTGGCGCTTCTTGTCATTGCCATTCCCATTCCCCCCAGCTCCTCCCTGCCTCTGCTTGGCCGCCTTGTCGTTGGCGAGTGTATCGGTTGGCTGGGGGGGTGAGGTGGAGTGGAAGTGGAAGCGCGGGTCGATCCCGGCAGCGAGCGATGAGGGGCGGAGGTTGCCGGCCGACATGGGCGACTCGCTCCCCTCGTCGTACTCACAGTCGGCCGTGAAGGGGAGGCCCTTCTGGGTGCCGGTGAGCTTGTCCTGGTCTGTGAGGGGGTGGTTGGGTGCGGTTTTGGACGGGGAGGGCGAGGAGGGGATGTCGGACAGGTTGCGGTAGCCGGAGGGGGCCCCGGGGTAGGTGTGCGTGGTGGACGCGCCTGCAGGACTGCCCGATGCCATTTTTCTGACACACACCACGCACCACAGCACCACAGACAGAACACAGCGAGAGGACGGCTCGCATGCGGCACTGCGGCAGGAGTGCAGTCTTGGCCGCGTGTGTGTGAGCCCTGACCTTCAGACTTGCTCTATGTGGTCTCGAACGGTGACGCTAGATGCTCCAAGACAGCCGCACGAGCTACGCCGATTGCCTAGCAGGACAGCAGGGCCACCACACAGACATGTCTCAGCTGAGATGTGCCCGCTACTCATCGGCGAAGGCAGCGAGTGTCGCCCCCTCACCTGATTCGACGTGGAGCGGTGTTTCCACCAAGCCAGTAGCTACAGCCTTGCCAAAGGGTAAAGCAGAGTGGTCCACAGGTGCGATTTGGCCACCCTCAGAGGACCACAGACGCGATGACGTCTCGAGGAGAGGTGCCGAGGGTGGTCAGGTGGAGGGCGTCACGGCTTCAGCTTCTAAAAGCATCAGTAATCCACTCTTCAAGGTCCCTCACCCCTGGCCGTCCAGACTGCCAAATCCAGCTGAGCCGCAGCAAAGCTCGCCAACGATGGCGTTTCACGGTAGCGGCCGAGAAAAAGGCGAGCCGATGGGTGGCGGAGATGCAGTTGAGGGCTCCACTGAAGGCTGAGTACGACCACAAGATGCAGGGCCAGAACCCACCGCCTGACCAGGTGCGCCATGCCTTCACGCCACCAAGGACAGACACAAAGGGCGCCGATCAGATCAGACAGAGGGAGGGAGGGCTGGAACGGGAGAAGCAGCACTGGAAGCATGCCTGAAGAACGCTGCGGAGAGGGAGGAGAATCGTGCTGCGTTGTGTGGTTGTGGTTGCGGTTGTGTGTGGTGCACCGCAGGCGTGGGATGAGCATTCGAGGGCGACGGCGCTCTCGCAGCTCAAGAGGCTGGACAAGAACGTCAGCGGCATCGTCGCTATGGTGCGTACGCCAGACACAGAAGGAAGCAACGAGGGAGGGAGGGAGGGAGGAGGATGCCGTGGCACTCAGTCACCCACTCAAACCATCGTGTCACGCTTCTTCGTGTGCGTGTGGGTATGGGTGTTCCATTTACTCATCAGGCTTCCTATGTGTCAGTGTACCGGCTCAACACCGCAAACAACTGGGAAAGGTGCGACCGTCAGCCAGCTGAAGGGTTGGGCGGTCTGGCGCTGACACCACGTGCCTCTGTTGGCTGTTGGTTGGTCAGAGCGGAGATCGAGGGGACGATCTTCATTGTCAACTGCAAGGGGGAGCCGAGGTAATGCGTGTCACACACCGACACTCGTTGCGTGTCTGTCCATTGATCGCCCCATCTTTGACCTCTGCGTGTGTGTCCCTCCATGCCATGTATGTACTTGTGGTCTGTCTGGTCTGTCTGGTCAGGCACAAGGTGGTGGTTCTCAACCAGAAGAGCCTCGACAACCTCAGCGAGGCCATCACTAACAGCTGGGAAATGAACACCCAACAGAACTACATCTTCTGGCGGGACGAGGCCATCCCGCAGCAGGTGGGTTCGGTTGGTACCCACCGCCAAGCAAAGCAAGACAAGACGCCACCCCATCCCCTCACACCGCCATTCTCTCTCTCTTCCCTCCCTGCCGTGTGGGTATGTTATGTGTTATTACTGTCAGCAACGTCGCGTCTTCGGCATTTGGTTCTTCCACGACGAGGAGCGGCGGCGCATCCACGACGTCCTCCAACGGATCATCAGCGACCGGACCAAGCCAGAGCCGGAGCCGCACCCCAAGACGGCCGACCTGCCCGACCTCCCCTCCAACATGGAGCGTGTCAACCTCAGGGACATGTCAACCGTCCCCCCAGGACTCCCACTCACCAACGCCAGCGCCCCAGTGGTGCAGCAGCAGCAGCAGCAGGCCAACGGCGAGGCGCCCCAGCCCAGCGACCCACAGAGAGCGGGGAAGGAGATTTTGAATCTGCTCGGCATTGGGGGCGGCGGAGGGGGCGAAGAGAACAAGCAAGACGAGACCACTGGTGGGGCCCCGGCAGCGGCGGCGGCTGCAGCAGCAGCTGCTCCTGCAGCTGCTGTTCCCGCCACGCCAGCTGCGGGGACCAATCCCAGGAATCTCATCTTCGGGCTGCTCGGCATGGTGGGCGAGTCACCTATCTACCCTACACCATCTTCACTTCAGACAGACATTCACCCACACCTGTCTGTATCTGTTGCGTTCGTTGCATGTGTCTGTCTGTCAGAACACCGGAGGTCAGCAGTCGCCCTTCCAGCCGCAGACTCCCGGCGACCCCGAGCCATCGCCCGAGCAGCCGCCTCCACACGAAGGCGGCACCCTGCCCGGCCGACCGCTGCCCTTCTCGCGAGACAAGTCCAGACGCCCCGAGGAGCTGCAGCCGTCGGATGGCGGCCCGCTGCGGGACATCATGTCGATGATGCACCCACATGGCCCTCCGCCCCCTCCGCCACCACCGGAGCGCGACGAGAGGCATGAGGGCGGTTTGCGCGTTGGCGGGCCGGCGGATGGCATTGGACTGTGGGGTCCGCCACCGAGGGAAGGGGCAGGTGTGGGTGGGGCAGGTACGTTCGCGGCGATGCCCATGCCGATGCCATCGGCTGGCGGGGAGAGGGCGGTCGCTCCGCAGCCGCCGGCAAGGACAGGTGGGGATGGATGGCACACGTGCCAAAGGGATGGACGGGATGGGCTGTGATATCTCCTGCCCGCTACTCTTCGTGTGTTGTGCAGATTTCCCTGGTGCGTTTGTTGACCATGAAGTGCAGAAGCCCGTCGCAGCAGCAGCTGCTGCTGCCGCTGCTCCAGCTGGAAGGGTACGTCAAACACACAAGACGCTCTCTACTCTTCTCGTGCATGATAGCCATTCCCTGCCTCTTTCTTCCTTCTCGTTCTCTGTCTGTCTGCAGAGTCCGGGTGAGCCCCACCGTGTGCCTCTGTCAATGGACCAGCCGACGATGGGTCCCTCCCCGGCCACCGTGCCCATGCCGATGCCCGTCCCGATGCCCATGCCCATGCCGGTGCCGACCACGCCCTCGCCGCCACCCGGCGTCACGCTGCAAGACCAAGACCACACACAGCAGATGGCGTCCATGCCCATACCTATGCCCATGCCGCACCAACAGGAGGTCCAGCAGGCCAGGGGACCGCCTCCCGCCGCTGCAGCAGCGGCTGCTGCTGTTGGCGCGGCCGTGTCTGGTGCTGCTGGAGTCGATGCCATAACTGTGACGCGTGATGAGATGCAGGAGGCGTTCCGGCGTGTGCTGGCCTCTGAAGGGTTTCTCGACCTGCTGTGGGGGCAGCTGCACCGGATCAAGGCCGCCGAGAGGGAGGGGTACGGGCGGCCCAACGGCACGGGGACAGGGAGTGCGGCAAGTTTGGGTAGTACTGCGAGGGGCGGGGCTCCGCGGGGGACGCCCTATGAGGGCATGAGGCAGAGGTGACGGGATGACATCGTGACACATAGGCAGGTGCTGCGGTTGCGATGAGCCAGCCAGGAGCTGTGGTGTGGTGTGGTGTCGTGTGGGGGACGGTGGGTGATGGTGATTGACTGACTGGTCGTTTCGTTTGTTTTTGGTGCTTTTCCTGTGAGTGAAGGCATAAGCCAGCTGGATTGTGTGTGTCGGGTGTGTCCTGCAGAACCTGCTCGGCGACTGTGTCATGGCGTGACGCGGCAATGCCCACGCTGTGATATGGGTGCCGACGAGGGTTTGGCGGACACAAAACGACGCACCCAGAGAGAGAAGGAGAGAGAGCGTTGGGTGTCGCTGGGGCTGTCTCCTTGACTCGCGGGCAGTTCCTTTGGTCTGATGAATGGGCAGCCAAGCTGGGTGAGAGAGGATGGTCGGGCGAAGGTGTAGGCTCACAGACAGACAGACAGACAGCTGCTACGGATACCCTCACACACACACACACACACGCTCACAGCTACGTAAGTACTTGCATAAGTCTCACGTACACGCACTCACGCCATTTGTCTGTCTGCCCGTCTGCATGTCTGTCTTTCTGCTGATGCATCCAATGCGGCGAGTGAGTGAGGCTCCTGGACCGACACGTGACGTGTGTGCCCCGTGCGTCCATGACATGAACGAACGAGTGGTTTAAGCCATGGTTAACTCAGTGAACTGACTGACCCCAGCTCACTCAGTCATCAGCAAACCACTCGGGTGGCGACACGGCCGCCCGGCCCTCAACCTGCCGGGTGACCACCACCTGCTGCCTCTTGGCCCACGCATCAATGTCACGCCACACGTGATAACCATCTGCACACCGCACACACACACCATCACCATCACAAGCCCATGTGTTCACTTGTGTGTGGCCTACACTCCAGGAAAAGCTCTTCAGGAATTGTCCATCTCCACCACTCGGGCACCCCATGCTGCTGCCGCAGAGACACCACTTCATCGCTCATCACCACCCCACTCTGCTGGCCGGCCCCTCCCCCAGCAGCCATGCTCTCCCGCGGGCTGACAGCTATGGCCTTCCAGTTGTCCAATCCCAACTTGGCCCCCGTCACCTTGAACAGCTCCATGCCGGCTTGTGGGGTGGGCGGCTCGTGCTGTGATGATGACCGAGGTGAGGCGGACGACGAGCCTGCGGCCGACGAGGCCGCGGCGCCGTTGACAATGGATCCTCTGCGGGGGTGGGTGGGCTCTGGGAAGGCGCAGATGTCTTCGAGAATGGGCTGGTCCCACTGCAGAAATGCAAACAGGCCAGGCCAGTGTGTGTCGGTGTCTCTTGGTCGCTCTGTCTGTCTGTCTGTCTGTCTCACTACTGACGGATTTCCCGTCCGTCCAGTCAAAGTCTTCTTTAAGATTCCTACAGGCAGAGAATGCGGCGCGCACGTTTCTGTGTGTGGTGTCCGTTGTCTGGTGCGTAACTGACAGTATTTCCTTGAACGTGTCTTCGGCCTGGTTGTGCGTTGTGAAGCCTGAGGCGTCCAGCACCTGACGGTAGGTCAGACCACCGATCCACTGCCTGCGCACAACACACACACACACACACAGAGATACAGACACAGAGGCGCATTGCAGGCAGGCAGGCAGCATTAGTTCACTGCCATCGATGGCCGACCGAGAGGGCCGCACGAGGCCTCCCACGCGCAGGTTGTGGAGAAAGGTATCCACCTGAGTGTGTGAGAAGAGGAAACACCATGTTTGTCTGATCCGCATCGGTCCCCAGGGGGTGGGGTGCTCGATGTGTGTCTGACTCACTCTGATGAGAGTGTTATTCTCCAGCGGCCGGAGGGCATACGTCACTGCATAATGGCACCCACATTTCAGTCAATCGTCACTCACGTCAGTGGTATCTGTCTGCTGTGGGTGTAAGTCAGTCTACCAGCTCTGGCGAGTAGGGCCCTTCGGCTGTCACCCGTCAGTCGGTCCGACATCTGGTTCACCACCGGACCAACTGCATCAACGCGCACACGGGATGGACACAGGGAAATGTCTCTTGGTGGCGCGTCCGTCTTGTTGTGTGTTGTGTGGTGGATTGGATTGTGCGCTGACCGACGCTGTGTACAGAGACCCCGAGGCCACGGAGCAGCAGTATCTCCACCTGAGTGACGACAGCCTTACCTACAAGGCCTGCCTCTCGTGTCTGTCTGTCTGTCTGTGTCATTACTTACGGCCAGCTTAGGAAGAGTGCTATCGGCGTTGAGGAGAGCGTCTCTGGAGGGAGAGAGGGGGAGAGTCACGTGTATAGAGGTGGCCTGCCGTTGTGGGCGGTGTGGTTGTGTACCTGAAGTGGTTAGCGGGCATCCTCTGCTCATTGCCGAACTGCAATGCCGCTTCCTTAACATACCTGCACCACCAACCCATCACGTGCACACCAGGGAATAGCAGCACGTGTGCGGCGCGCAGTGCTCGATTCGTTTCGCCGTTGACCTGACGCATCTCTGGTAGGCCTCCAAGCACTCCATTATATACTGGACCTTCATCTCCTCTATCAAACCTCCCTCACTGAACAACCAATCGACACACACACACACACACCACACAGACATTATGCTCTTGTGCGATTCCATCCATCCTTCCGGCTCACTTGACTCACATCGGTTCAAAGAGGTCCGTCAGCCGGAGCATGACGTCGTCGTCACTCTTGCGCTTCTCCTGCCTCCCCTCCAGACACCTGTGCACAATGCTCTTCAGGCGGTTCATCCGGGTCCGCTCTTTGACAGGGAAAAAGCTCAGCAGCAGCCCCGTCAGCACCCCAAACGACACACCCAGGTCCTTGTTCACCTCCACCCCCCCGTGGACCATCGTCCCCCGCCTCACCCCCTCCACCAGACTGTTGTCCTTCTCCACCTCTAGCCCCCGCCGCAGCACCGCCACCGCCCTCTCCTCAGGCGGTGTGGACACCGCCATCGACGGCCGTCGTTTCCCAACACTTGAGGGCGGCGGCGCCATCATAATGGAGGTGCGCTTCACCTGACCGACACCCGCACCAGCAAACATGGTGGAGCCTCGCCGGCCCTTCCCAGCTGCAGCTGGCACAGACATGGTGCTCTCGGCCTTCTCGGAGGGCACCGGGCTGAGCAGCGGGCCGATGGTCGCGGCGGTTGCTCGTTGCTGTGCGCGGACGCCTTTGGGTGGGTCTGTGGCTGAGGCTTGTGAGATTTGTATCATGGGCGAGGCGACGTGGAGTGGGGCGGGGTCGGGGGGCAGAGGGGCGAAGAGGTGCTCGGCGGTGCGGACCAGCAGCCGTGTGAAGGTGCGGACCATTATCAGCGCCTGATGGCACCAGTCCTCGTGAATGTCACTGCACACCAGAAGAGCAGAATGTCAGTCACATGGGTGTGGTGTGGTGGGCCATGCCATGTGTGTGAGCTGTGGTTGTTGTGGGTGGATGTGATGTACCCACCCTTTGAGCGCTTTGAAGAGGAGGATGCTGTCGGGTGTCCCTGCACGTGCACAGCTCTCAAACAGGCCGAAACAGTAGCTGATCTGAGCATCCCGATGCCTGCATCAAACACATACACAGAGAGAGAGAGAGAGAGATACAGAGACACCCCCCCTCACTCTCCTCTCTCACTTACTCATGTTTAGAAGCGGCGAAGGCCAGGAGTATCTGCCCTAGCTCGTTGCTCCCGCCACCGATCTCCCTCCCCAGCACACCACTGCCACCAGTGAGGTCTTCCCGGGCTGCAGAGGGCAGCGCCTTTGGTCCCTCAGCATCACCACCAGCAGCAGCAGTGGTAGCCTCGGCTGGCTGATCGCCTTGATCGGCTGCTGGTGCTGGTACTGGTGTCGTAGAGAAGAAGTGCGGGTGTGTCTGGGGGAACTGCCACACAGAAAGAGGGAGAGGAGACAGGCATAGTGGCCACCTGGTATGTCTGTATGGATGTGTGGAAGCAAACAAACGGCGAGGGAGGCACCTTGTGAGCGAACATCCAGAACTCGCCGAGCACGGGAAGCAGCTCCTGTGGGGTGAGCACCTGAGGCGCCTGATCAACCAACACAGACGCATGAGGACCTTCCCCTCTTCAGTCCCTCCCGCCTCCCAGTATCCATGCACTCACTTGTATGAGCTGGCTCCCGAATAAGCGCAGGAATGAGGGGATCTGAGGGGAGGACCCCCAGGCCACTAACTTCCTGCTGTCACTCGGCAGAGTGAGTGTGGCATGGTCCTGAAGACACAGACAGACAGACAGACAGAGACAGAGGGACAGACAGAGGGACAGCAGGCAGCGTTTCATTTGCATGATGGTTGGTTGTGTGTGAAGTATTCTTGGGGGGCTGCTTGCTCACGGGAGTGCCTTCGAAAGTCTTGCTGAGCTGCACAATGAGCTCATCGCGGTTCCACTCAGGCGTGAGATCGAGGCTCGCCCTGCACCAGACACATTGCCAACAGCACAACACTCCCACCTACCACGTGTCTCCCTCCCTCCCTCACCCTACCTGAGCTGCTTCCTGAGGCTGCGCGCTGTAGCCTGCTGGTGCTCAGCCTGCCACGCCAAGTCACCCACGGCCTGTGTCACGCCCTCCACCAGTGCCTCAGCGTCCATCGGCGACACCTTCTGCGGCACCGTTCGGCCACCGCTGCCCCCCTCCTCACCAGCGTCGTACATGTCGGTCAGCGGGAGGTACCTCGACTCGTCGAAGTGGGGGAGGGCGGAGGCGATCTGGAGGGCGGCCATGGAGACCAACGTGCCCTCGTTGTCGGTGAAGGTTGACGCTGGTGGATAAACAGAGGGAGACATGGTTGATGTGCATGCCTAAGTGAGACATTCTGAGTGAGTGGGTGGGTTGCTGACCGTTCATGGTGCCTTTGGACATAAACTTTGAGGTCATCTTGGCGAAGTGGCCGGTGGGCTGCCGCCGGGTCGACGTGATGGACGTGGGCCCCCTGCGACAATACACACATGCAAATTTGCATATGCATCACTCATGAACAAAGGCAAAGGAAGATAAGACGCTGCAGTGCCCTACTGATGTTTCGGTTCAGCAGTGTCCTTAAACTTGATGCGCGGCGACGGGCTTGCGGTAGCCTGACGCTAAAGGGGGACACAGAGAGGAGTTGTCCATAGCGTTGAGACATCACATCGACGTGTGTGTGTGTGCGTGTATGTCGCTGACATCGGTTAGGTTGGCTTGTGAGGCCGCGAGCGCTGTCTGGAGGCCGAAACACTCTTTCTGCAGGCCCTCCAGCTGCTTCTTCATCCGCCACTTCTCCTGCTCAGCTTTGCGCCCACACAGCATACAGACGGACATACACAATCCTCAGTAGACGATCTTTCTCTCCCGCTCCCACACACACACACGTGTACCCTCTCTCAGACTCGCCTCAGTGGCCAAGTACTGATAGTTGAGTGCTCTAAAGTCCTCCTCGTTCATCTCAATCACAGCCTTGTACCGCCCTATGTCGGCAACCAGACGCTGCTTCTCGTCCGTGAGGCTTCGGAGGATGGACTGCGTCGACAGAGCGGTTGAGTCGTGGATGGAGGCGGACATTCTCCTCTCGAGAGTGTCGCTTCTCTGTCGCTCGTCATGCAGCTGCTTCTGGGCCGTCTCGACTCGCTGGGTGAGCTCTTCTGTGGTGCTGAGAGTGACAGGAATACATTTTGCTGTGTGTGGGCGAGTGGTGCATCAGTTTGTGCGTCAGTCATTACATGCCTTTTCAGCCGCTGCAGCTCCTGTCTCAGCCCGTTGACCTCCACGAAATAGGGAATCAGCCGCGTCACGTCACTCCCAGGCTACCACATGCCACACCACACACACGGACACGCAGATCGAATCGACCAACAGACATTCTCCACCCATTAATCGCAGGTATTTTACCTCAAATCCGTCAAAGACAGCCCCGAGCAGGTCCCGCAGCACGCCCCGCCAGACCCCCTGCAGCGGGTGGCTCTCCCTCCCCTCACTCTGCAGCAAGTGGCGGATGACGTAGCAGGACCGCAGCACCCGGCTCATGTCTGGGGGCAGGTACGTGGAGGGTGGGTGGGGTGTCTCCTTGTCGTCTGCAAGTGCGGGAGGGGTGGGGGAGGGGGCGGGGGAGATGAATGGCGACACCTGAATGAATGAGAGGCCAGCCAGAGATACAAGCAAGATGTGTCTGTCGATCATATGAGGCGACACAGCTGTTGCCTGCAAGTGACTTACGGCTGACGACTCCGCGCTTGGCTGCGGTCCCATTGCAGCCGATGAGGACACCGGACCGAGACCACCGGCTGCCGTTGTTGTCGCGGCAGACGGCACACCACGGTCATACCCGCCTGACACACGAGAGACAGCAGAAAACGACGCGTGGACTTGACTTCTCCATCATCGGCCATCCTCTCTCCCACCTGCTTCCGCCTCGTGAGTCTGCTCCATGCCCAGAATCTTCCGGAGGGTGTCGAGAGACATATCGAACTCTGCCGTAGGGAAGGGATACCCCTCATCGGCGGCCCCCGGCGGCGCTGTGGCCGGTTTGGCTTCAGAGTCCGGCCGAATCATGGCGTCCTCGGCCTGGTGAACCAGCACCTCCACCCAGCCAGAACGAAACGCTCTTTGTGGCCTTTGCGGGGCTGCTCGAGCAGGAAGTGGTGGGGGAGGGGCAGGGGGGCGGGTGACGCTTCGTTGAGGCGACGAAAGTGTGGAGGCCGATGGCTCAGGGTCGCTGAGCGATGGCTGGGGCGTCTTTCGCGTCAAGACATCCAGCCGCGTCTGCTTCCGCGCCCGCCGCTCATCCCTCGGAGAGAGCTGCACCGAGGGGAAGAACGACGGCACATGGGAGTAGTGCCGCGGATTCACCCCCACATCCGGCCCTCCCCTCTTGGGAGCGTGGATCAGCGGTGGGGCAGCATGCTTCCTCCTGACCTTCCATCCAGGTCGGCCTCGTCTCTGCTCCTCCTGCCCGTCACTGTCGCTTTGTGGGAACAGCTGGTGGACAACTGGCGAGAAGTCCTCGAGGAACGGGGCTGCCTGGGCGGGTGACGGGGGAGGCCGTGGAGGTGACTCCAGCGGGACGCTGTCGACGGACGCGTGCCACTGGGTGTCGGTGGCCGGGGAGGGAGCTCGCTTGCGGCGTGATGCCGGCGCCTGCAGCCACGCAGAGAGGCAGACAGACAAGGGGATGGGATGGCCAGCGCCCTCCTGTGTGGCACTGCTTCTGTGCAGTGTCCTGTTGGCTCACGTGTTCTCGCCTTCGTCGCTCGGGTATCTTCTCTCGCTTTTGCCATCCTCCCGGCAGACCGACGTCGATCCCAGCTATCGTTGCCATTGCGCCTTGGGAGAAGGGAAAAAAATCGGAAAACGAGCCTGGGGGTCGGTGGGGGCTGCATGATCGCATGCAGTCTCGCACAAGAGCCATCCCGATACTAGTTGGAGGCGCTCAGCGTCAATTTAGTCTCATGAATGATGCATGTGATGTGCAGTGAGTCACGCCAGTCGCACAGGCAGCACGCACAGACAGAGAGCTCCTATGAGTCCCATCCATCCGGACACCCACGTGTTCGCCCCGCCCCACCCTCCCTCAGTCAAACAGCGAGAAGCCCATGTCCTCGTCCTCTTCCTCCTCCTGCACACACACATGCACACACACGACCGACCGACCGACAGACCGATACACACGGGCCGGGCCATGTGACCATAGGTTTCTGGCCCCACACGGATGTCTGTCTGTCCGGTCAGTATGGTATGTACCTCTTCCTCCTTCTTCTCCTCCTCCTTGGCCTCCTCAGCCGCAGGTGCGGCCCCGCCACCTGCTGCCGGAGCAGCACCGCCACCCACTGCCGGACCTGTGCACACACACACACACAGCCAATGAGGACACACACACATCACACATACTATAGATGATGCCTGCCACTGCTTCGTGCAGCCTGTTTGTATGTCCCTCACCGGCGGCTGCGGTGCCCGCGGCACTGAGCAGTGAGGCGAGGTCCCTGCCCTGCAGCAGCTTCTCAAACAGCCGGGGGAGGAATGGCTCAACCTTCAGACCTGCTGCTGACACTAGCTTCTCGATATTCTCGGCCTGACCAACGATAGCCACAACATACCCAGTCACCCTCCTGGCTGGCCAGAGCGTGTACGTCCCACCACCCTCTCGTTCTCCCTACCGTAATGTCTGTTTCCTCGTCATGGAGGATGAGAGCTGCAGCCACACACACTCAGAGAGAGAGAGAGAGAGAGAGAGAGAGAGAAGGGGTTCGCCTGCGTTCGTGTAGCGGTCAGTTTCCTCACCTGCGTATGTGCACGCCAGCTCCTGCTTCTCCGCATCGCCTGATCACACACACACACAGCGGGCATCAGCCGTGGGAACAAATCTGAGCCTCTCAGTGTTGTGACGTTTGGAGTTGCAGCTTACTGATATCGGTCACGGGGATAGCCGCCATCTTCCCAGGAGATCTGCTGTTTTCGGGGAGAGACCAATTTCACAAAGCTCGCATTCCGTGAAACCGCTCCGCTGCCGGTGGAGGAAAGTCGATATGTCGGCAGAGGTACAACCTAACTCGGCTAGAGCGTAATTGGTTTCTCAAGAAAGTGACTGGGGGAAAAACTGCACAGAAAGAAGAGCCTGCATCACCGACCGCCTTCAGAGGTACGTCAGAAGCAAGATCCTTCACTGTTTCTCTTCACACGCCTGCCACTCACACGTGCCATGTCGTCCCTGCAGATGTCTGGATCTCTCCCACTCGCGGCACCACGGCCTCATCCGGCGGCCATTGCAAGCCAACCAGTCGGCAATGAGATCCTCGGTTTCACCATGGAGACCATCAAAGAGAGCGGCACAATGCGGCTCGTGAACAAGCACGACTTCCAGCGACAGCTCCTCAACCGCACCTTCTTCCAACGGTGGATTGGTGAGCGGCACCCGGCGGCTCTCCGCGCATTCATCGTCTTCGACGTGCGCCGCGAGGCCAACATCCTCTTCGTGGCGATGTGCCTGGTGCGTGACGGCGGCAGATGGGACGACTGGCCTGACTATCTGAGCGTGCTATCGGCTGCTCGTGAGGTGACTCTGCCGATCCGCATCACCGATGCCGACGTGGAGCTGCTGCGGGCGTCTGTGCCCCGCCTGGTCCACTGGCTCAAGACGAGTGACCGTGAAGACCTCAAGAATCATCAGCACGAGTGGCTGCAGCCGCGCTTTGGCCCCAACGTCCGGCGCATCATCGTCCGTGGAGATGAACAGCGGCAGGCGACGAGGCAACGGAGCGGCATCGGACGACCGCCGCGTTTCGTGGACGGCGGCATACTCTGGAGCAAGCCGCCTGCCAGGTGCAACCGATACGGCACGGATGTGCTGTTTCGCGACTTCGCCTGCCGTCAGTCCATCCGCGTCGGACTCCGATTCTCATTCCGCAGCCCGCCATCGCCCCCTCAAAACGGTGTATGTCTGACTGTGCTGCGGTTCCTCGCCAATCAGGCCCGCCCACTCACACCCACATACGCTGCGCGGCTTGAGAGGCCACCAGTTATGGGAGGCGTGTCTTCTCCAAACCCACGGCCATATGTTTGGGTGCTGCCTGAGGGCGACGATGGCCCTCCGTGCGTCGTGTCCCTGCTCAGAGACTTCCCCCCGTCCTTCCCCACTCTTTCCATCCTCGACATGGTCATGACGAGCCTGATCAGCCCCCAGCACTGGCAAGACAGCACCGTCGACTTTCCCCCTGTGCCCCTTGGCGTTTTCCCGCCGTTTACCATCCTTCCGACGTGGGTGGTGGGCCATGCCGACGCAATGTCCGACGGCGTGGAGCGCATCGCCTCGCCGGCTGGGGCTGGTACTGTGAGTGTGGCGCCGGTCTTGTCGTTCATCCGGGATCAGCTCAACACCAACGGCCGTCGGCTGGTGCACCAGGGGGTGATCGACCTGCTGACGTTCGTCGATCAGCTGGGAGCGTTCTTCCCGCAGGATGGCGTGACGGTGCGGAGGTCTTTCCTTTTGTACCGGCCGGAGGCCATTGACTGAGCTGGCAGGGGAGAGGCCTTGATGATCTAGTTAGCCGCACACTTGTGTCTGTCTCTGTCTGCCTGTCTGTCTGTCTTGCGGTTTGGCTGTTTGGCTCCTTCCACCCATCCACTCACTCACTCACCAGTCATAGACACACGCATCCCACCCAGATTGGTATGTCTTTCCTCCTTGGGTGTGTATGGCTGCTGTGTCGGGGGTGCGTGGCTGCTGGTCGATTCGGTGTGTGTATGGGTGGGTGGTGGAGTGTATCGGTGAACATGGTATGGTATGACGCCTGCCATGGAGGGTGTCACGCCATGCCATGAAATGAGGACGATTTCTTCCTTCCTCTCATTTGATTGCATGGTTTATTGACATTACTTACACATAAGTCTGTCTGTCTGTCAGCCCCGACACACTATACAGTGACAGACAGACAGGCACCATTGACAGCGAAGAGGCAATGGATCAGGAACAACCACACAAACAATATGGCGCATATTGCGCTGATTGTCCGCAATAGCCTGCCGACATGCACATGTCGGCAGATGGACCGGCCTACCTAGGCACCGCACCCTCCGCACACGCATCACTTGAGCCCTTAGCTGTACACCAGGCCATCACACACGCAGACGTACAGAGCGACAGAGAGAGAGTGAGAGAGAGTGCGTGAGATCCTCAAGACAACACCACAGAGCCACCACTACGGCAGAGAAGTGAAGCTTTACACACCGCACCCCAAACCCTTTATACTTTGACGCACGCACATCATCTGCACATTCATCCAAACATTACACACATTAGGCAGTGCCCCCTGGCAAGCCCGCTCGCTGGGTGTCGAGCACAGGCGGCTCGGGATGACCTCCAGACGAGGAAGATGCCGTCGTCTCCGATCCGCCATCAGTCGCCGCCTCTTGGTCGGTCGTCATCGGCTGCACCTGCACCACGGTCGCTGCGGTGGGCGCTGCGCCCGGCGCGTTTGTCTTGGGGGCGAGGGAGGCTCGAGCCTCCAAGAAGCGGATCGTCATGGTGCTGCTCTCGCCGGTAGTGGCCGTATATGTGCCGCTAATGACTGACTGCTGGCGGTTGAGGAAGCGGCCGGTGAAGTCCACATCTCGTAGGCCCCAAGAGACTTGATCGCTGTTCGCGTTGGAGAAGCCATTGACCTCGACGGCTCCGGGGAAGCTGTGGCCCGTCACAGTGCCATCGTACTCGAATGTGAGAAGGTAGGCGCATCCTGTGCCGGTCCCCTGGAAGGTGCCGATCCACTTGCCAGACGGAGGGGGTGTCGATGCCGGGATCGGGTTGACGCGCCTCTCTCGCCTGGTGGCGGGGGACTGTGAAGCGAAGATTGGAGTGGTCGCTGCGGTGGATGCGGAGGGCATCGATGGTATGGTGGAGGCAGAGCGGTCGGCCTCGTTGTCCGTGGCATTGTCGCCACCTGGCGGAAGGCGTCGCGACATGCACCACGAGGACGGGGTGCAGCACCACACACGCCACGAAAGGGGGACGTAATGGGGGATGATTAGAATAGCCAACACGAATAGCATGAGGAAGACGGAGAGGCCGATAATGCCGGCAACCATGGCGATAATCACCCCGTCAACGTCGGTAGAGCCATCACTGCCGCCAGAGCCGCCGATGAGAGTGCCGCCACGGGGGATCCCAGGGGAGTCAGTGTAGCCTCCGCCACGGGGTGGGCTGAAATCGGGTACCCTGATACGGAATCCCAACCGGCGGCCCTCAGCATCCACCAGAGTGGGGACGGCCGACAAGAGCACCACAGCGGCGAGACGCGCCGACAGCAGAGGACGGCGGCAGACAATAACGGCCATTTCTTGCAGCGTCAGAGAAGGTTCCTCTCAGAGATAACGGACGCAGATGAGCTCGTTGGATGGGCAGCCGCCCAAGACAGAGAGGAGAAGCGAGACTGAGACCAGAGAGAGCACAGAGAGAAGCAGGCCGAGTGCGGTTCGAATGGTTCGAAGCTCTCAAGCTGCGAAGCGAAACATGCTTTGCGTTTTACGGCAGGGAGTTGCCGAGCTCGCATTGCGAGGAGGCTTTCTTCTCTGCAAAAAAGGCCAGTCCGAGGTCTCTCTTAGTTCCCGCATCGCCGGCCCTTGTAGCTCTGTGTCACTGATGTCTGCCGCGTTTGGTTTCGACGGCCCTCACGCCACCTCCACCGCCAAGTCCAGCTCCACCTCCCTCCCTCGCCGCTCAGTGGCCCACCGGCAGCCTCACCGTCACCACCAATCGTACGCTCGCCGCACCGTACGGACCCCTGCGGCAGCGGCCTCGCCTGACGCTCGGCCTGACGGTCCGCCCTCGCCCTCGCAGTCCCGTCCCGGCGCCGCCATTCCCAGCAGCGAGGACGGCAATGTCAGTCTGCAGGCGGCGGTGGCGCAGTGGCAGGCAGCAGGGCTCAGTGTGGGCATCTTCAACCGCACTACCGGCCTCACAACCAACCTGCCTCCTGTGCCACCGACTCCACCTCCCCCCCTGCCGATGGGCACCATTCCCAGCGACTCGCCCAACCGCACCGTGTACCGCGTCAAGGCCAAGAGGGGGCTGGACGGCCGCCGCTACGAGGCCTGTCTGCACCAGGACGGCCGCTCCCTCCTCGACCCCCACGGTGACGTGATCATGTTGCCCGAGGAGGGCGAGCAGTCGGGGTGGATGAACCTGGAGCTGGAGGGCGAGGACGAGGGGGGCCGGATGGTGGACCCACATGTTCAGCCTGTGGGACATGTGAGGCACTCGCGACATTCCTGGCGGTGAGCGAGGGAGGGAGAAAGGGAGGGAGGACGGGAGAAAGGGAGCAGGTCACACAGGCATGTGTGTGTGTGTGTGTGTGTGTGTGTGTGTGTGCAGGCGTGTTGTTAGGCGCGAAGCCTGGTCTGTCGAGAAGCTGCTGTCGCTGATGTTCATGTGATCGGCTGACCTTATTTGCCTGCCTGCCTGCCTGCCAAGACAGACACACACACGCAAAGACACACACGCACAGAGAGAGAGAGAGAGAGAGCGTGTGCTGCATGGCTTGGCTGGCTGGATGGATGGCGTGTGTGCGGTGTCGGTTCGTGTGCTAACGGTGTCTGTCGCCTTCTGTTGTGTGGCCCGTTCATTTGTCGGTGGTCTCTCTCTGTGTGCCCACTGTGATCTGTTTGCTGTGATGGCCGGCTTGCGAAGAGATAGCGGCCGTCTCGTCTGTGGACTGTGTGCTGCTGTCGTATTACTCAGTGTGCTCTCAGGCACATTGACACAGATGTGTGTTTATGTGTAATGTAGATATGTCTGTCTGCACGTAACACGAAGTAATCGACGTAATTGCTGCCTTCACTGTGCTGTGTGTCGCCTGCCTGGATGGATGGATGGATGGAGGGCTTTCATGTAAGGGTGTACTTAACGTTGTAATGTTGATATGTCTGTCTGCACGTAACACGAAGTAATCGACGTAATTGCTGCCTTCACTGTGCTGTGTGTCGCCTGCCTGCCTGGATGGATGGATGGAGGGCTTTCATGTAAGGGTGTACTTAACGATATGTCTGTCTCTTCTTAACACGACATAATCGACGTAATCGCTGCCCTCTACTTAACGGCTTGTGTGCGTGTGAGCGGGGGACTGACAGACAGCGGGAGAGACCAGCGGGCAGCAAACAGACTTGAAACAGACCTTGAGAGTGATCCAATGCAATGCGCGTCTTACACCCACACGCGCGCACATTAACGTCACCGTGCTGCTGACAGAATATAGCCACCCTGGCTTGATTGCTCCTCAGTCCCCGACTGATTGGGGCAACTAATCCAACCACAAACACTCGCAGCCGTTTGCCGTTTGCTTTCGTCGTGTGAAAATCCCACTGCT